TTCGTATCAATGCACTTGTCGCCAAGGCTCAAAAGGTTCCTGAAGAAGGTTGGGTCATGCAAGATGGTACACCATGGCCAGGAAATAACACCAGAGATCACCCAGGAATGATTCAAGTAAGCTTAGTTCTGTGGAACTGTGGTAATAGATCCCTGCGCAATGAGCTACAATGGTTTTCCCTTGTATATTGAATGTAAAAATGTTAAGAAAAACTATTTATTTATGAAAATATTATTATCTATTCAAAGTATATTAAATTATGAGCTTTTAATCCTTTTGTGTGTGATAGGGGCAAACAGTATTATCACATTTTTTTTACCGGTTGGTGGCTTTTAAACAGTCATTATCATACTTGCATCTTCACAGTTGTGTTATGATTGAAGTAACTCATCTAGATTCTGTTGCTTGCAGGTTTTTCTGGGCCAAAGTGGAGGTCTTGACAGTGAGGGTAATGAGCTGCCAAGATTAGTGTATGTTTCTCGTGAGAAGCGTCCAGGATTCCAGCACCACAAGAAAGCTGGTGCTATGAATGCACTTGTAAGTGGTTGACGATTTTGATCTGCACTTATGCTAACATTGCCTTGTTGGCACATTTAACATGTTATGTTCAATGCAACTCTTGTAGGTTCGTGTATCTGCAGTTCTTACTAATGGACCTTTCTTGTTGAATCTTGACTGTGATCACTACATAAACAACAGCAAAGCTTTGCGAGAATCAATGTGCTTTCTTATGGATCCAAATCTTGGAAAATATGTCTGTTATGTGCAATTTCCACAGAGATTCGATGGTATTGATAAGAATGATCGATATGCCAATCGTAACACTGTCTTCTTTGATGTGAGTTTATGATCACTCTTACTATTATTTGTGTCTGTTTCCTACTAGAGTGTCCAAATGAAATGTAATAAATAATTTGATAATTCTTTTTCTTATTTCATTTTTGGGGGTGGGTGATATCCTGTATGCATAGTAACTTGTTCTTTTTCTTTGTGCTATTAGATTAACTTGAGAGGTTTGGATGGTATTCAAGGCCCTGTGTATGTGGGTACTGGATGTGTCTTCAACAGAACAGCTTTGTATGGTTATGAGCCTCCTCACAAACCTAAGCAGAAGAAATCTGGGTTTCTCTCTTCCTGTTTTGGTGGGTCAAGAAAGAAAAGTTCTAAATCAAGCAAGGGGTCAGACAAAAAGAAATCTAAAAAGCATGTTGATCCCACTGTTCCAATTTTCAACTTGGAGGATATAGAGGAGGGTGTTGAAGGTATTGTTTCTGTTTAAATCATTATTCTTGAGTTCCTACTTGCATTTTGTTCTTTCTAAAGAAAGCATGACAGTGTTTTTGGTAGTAAGGCACAAAACAATTACATGCTTCATGCCCAATATCGAGTAATTAATTTTTAGATTTTATCGGTGAAAATTGATCTAGGCATGTAAATTTTGTTAATTAGTCTATAGCAATAGAAGCATGCATTCGTTTGCTGGGAACACGTGCAGCCCCTGTTTGAGCCACATTCTTTAAAATTCAATTTTCCCCGAACTATTTTCAACCACATTCTCCAAAATAAAATAATTTTTCACGTAAACCCAAAACTTTCTCTCCTTTCTAACTACAAATTCTCCCGAAAACCACTTTTATCTATTCTAAAAAAATGGGGCTGAAACAGGGGTGCAGTTAATGTGTGTTATAATATAATTACCCATAAGAGACTAGAATAAAGGGGCAGAAGGGTATGGCAAGAGCATTTTTTAAGCGTAATACTACAGGTCTATAAATTTCATCTAATCTTTGCTCGGGTTTTGAGGCTATTCCCTGCCATTTCACCTGGATTGTGACTCTTTGGTGTTCTTTATCTTTTCTGCTTGGGACTTTTGAGGTTATTATTGGATCATATGAATTGGCTTCACAATGGGCCAATGAATTGCTAGAATACTACTGTTGGGCGTGGTGCATGCCCATTGTGTACATCTCACAATTCACATTTCTAATCGGCATTGTCTTCACACTTAAATGTACATACAAATTTTGTTGAATCCCAATGTTGACCACATTTTTTCAAATATAAGCATGAAATCTTCTGTCTTCTTTTCTTTTTCTAAACATTCTCATTTCATGATCTACCTGGTTTTCACGAGTCTTGGCACACTCATTGGTTCTTTGCTTATTCAGTTTTCTCGTGTTGTGCACGAAAGGAAGATGGCAGCAAGGAACTTTCTCCACGAGTTTCATTTTATTAGCCTTTTCAATCGATCGCTTAATTATTCCCTATTTTGATTAAAATCAGGTGCTGGATTTGATGATGAGAAGTCGCTGCTTATGTCCCAAATGAGCCTTGAGAAAAGATTTGGCCAGTCTGCAGTATTTGTGGCATCCACACTAATGGAGAATGGTGGCGTTCCTCAGTCTGCTACACCAGAGACTCTTCTAAAAGAGGCCATTCATGTTATCAGTTGTGGGTATGAAGATAAGGCGGAATGGGGAAGCGAGGTAAACTGGCGTTTTTTGTTAATTTTTATTAAGTTCCTTCTCCACAGCACTATATCATGTTACCATTGTTTGGGTGCTGCCTGTATCCAGCAAAATTTATGTTTGAAGTAGATCTTTAGGACATATATGCACAGTTTTCTTCCTATTATATCTCTACCACTTCTCCATCTGTTCGATATTTAAAAATTTATTTAAACATACTGGTACTTGATATTCAGAGGTGGTGCTGTCTAGGATCCCCTTTTTTAGTTCCTTTACTTGGATCAAGTAAATCCCTTAAATATCATGTTTCTTTATACGGTTCATTTCCCCTTGTGCAGATTGGATGGATTTATGGTTCCGTTACAGAAGATATTCTTACTGGATTCAAGATGCATGCTCGTGGTTGGCGATCAATATACTGCATGCCTCCCAGACCGGCCTTCAAGGGATCAGCTCCAATTAATCTTTCTGATCGTCTCAACCAAGTGCTTCGATGGGCTTTGGGATCTGTGGAGATTTTGTTTAGCAGACACTGTCCTATATGGTATGGCTATGGGGGAAGGTTGAAATGGCTAGAGAGATTTGCTTATGTCAACACCACAATTTACCCAATCACTGCCATTCCACTTCTTTTTTATTGTACTCTGCCAGCAGTCTGTCTACTCACTGGAAAGTTTATTATCCCACAGGTTGGTTTCATCTCCCTGCAAATTTTCATTTTCAACACCTATTTGAATTTAAATGATCTCCAACAATTTTTCTTCTTCAATATCTTGCAGTGGCTATGAGATATATAAATATAAAATAAATGTAATACTTCTTCAACTGTGTTATCATCTTTCTGCCTTAAAACCGTGTATTCTGAGAAGCTAACTTAGCCACTGTTTGGCCCCCATATCTTCTAAATCTCATTTTCAGTCACACATTTCATGGAATCCACAATTTTTTTCAAATTTTCAATCACACATTTCATCAACTTTCAAGTTTTAGTCAAAAAAAAATAAGAAAAACTGATTTTTAGCTAAACCAAACAAGGGCTTAATGTCTCAACTATGTTCTCAGTTGTAAATATAACAATATAACCAATATACTAACATTAACTATGTTCTCAGTTTTAAATATCACAATATAACCAATATTCTAGCATTAACTATGCTCTCAGTTGTAAATATAACAATATAACCAATATGCTAGCATGTTATCATTGTGCCTTCAGAAATTTACATGAAATTGACAGGAATTTGATTTCATAAATATTAAATGTTACTTTGTATTGCAGATTAGTAACTTCGCGAGTATCTGGTTTATATCCCTCTTTCTTTCCATATTTGCTACTGGCATACTGGAGATGAGATGGAGTGGTGTGGGAATTGACGAATGGTGGAGGAATGAACAATTTTGGGTCATTGGAGGCGTTTCAGCTCATCTTTTTGCCGTCTTCCAAGGGTTACTCAAAGTGCTTGCTGGAATAGACACCAACTTCACTGTCACATCAAAGGCCTCAGATGAAGACGGGGATTTCACTGAGCTCTACATGTTCAAATGGACAACGCTCCTAATACCTCCCACAACTCTCCTCATCATAAACTTGGTGGGTGTTGTTGCAGGAATCTCCTATGCCATCAACAGTGGTTACCAGTCATGGGGTCCACTCTTTGGAAAATTGTTCTTTGCCTTCTGGGTGATTGTTCATCTCTATCCTTTCCTCAAAGGTCTTATGGGCCGCCAGAATCGGACGCCTACTATTGTTGTCGTATGGGCCATTCTTCTTGCTTCAATCTTTTCATTGTTATGGGTGCGAGTTGATCCATTCACCACTAGAGTCACAGGCCCAGATGTTGAACTGTGTGGAATTAACTGTTAAGAGTCGACATGTCTCAGATTTGGAAGTTTGATCTTGGATCCTCTGAAGAAATAAATGTTCGGGAGGTTTCCATGTGTTCTTGCACGTTTCATCTACTCCATCTTGCTGTATGTTTTTGTCTATGCGAAATTCACATTTGTTGTTAGAGTTGATAGCTAATTTTTTTCTTTGGTTGTCACAAAAGTAATTACAAAACAGAAGCCTTTATGTTATTAAAGAAACTGGTGAAAGAAGTGTATGTTGTTTCAGAATTTGTCCCAATGTTAGATGAGCATTGTAAGTTGTAAGTTATAACAACATTTCTCATCCTTGTAATGAATTTTATTCATTTGATTCAGTATATTCTCTAAATCGTATAACGACCGTGTCCTGCATTAATCGTTTTGAGGTCGTATACTTGTGTTCATCTTCACATGAGGTTCTGTATGTAAATATTCATTAGGTATGATATATACAGTAAAGTATCTACATCTATGTTTATTCAAGTAGTTACATTTATGTAAAAGTAACTTTAGTTTCAGCACTTCTTGTAGGCATTGTATCATTAATTTTTTTAGTTGGGAAAATCCTCCTGAGTCTAAGAGTGTAGCTTATAATTCTGGTCTTAAAAATTGATTCCTGTCGTATAATGCGTTTGTTAGCATTTCACATCATTGGGTACAATTAAGATGTGCAACGCATTAGGTGAAGGCAAGCAGGGACGGATTAAGAAATTTGAGCTAGTTAAGGCGACCATCAATGACCATAATAGTGATATATACATGTACTCATTTTTTTCAGCGGAGATGGCATGGGCGGTAGCTCTGACTCGCTGGATGCTGGTTCTGCCCCAGAAGGCAAGAACGGAGTAAGTTGGTTTTAGAATTTCGAGTTAGAACCATGGTAGTTAGAGTGTGTATATGAGTCGAGTTTGTTTTTCTAACCTTGTGTTGACAGAGTGTCAAGTGACTATGCAGGGGGAGCGTTAGCTCGTCTCGTGTCGTCTTGGTGCAAGAGGGATGTACAAGATGAAAAACAAACTTCACAATTTATATTAGTTTTGCAGTATGAATTGGGTTCCTGGGGGTGTTGATAGACGCAGCTGCCTCACATTTGTTTTGCAGATGAATTAGGTTTATAGAAATTAAGCCCTAGATATTAAAATTAGATTTTAGCAGATTTTGATAAAAGTTGATAAAATGTGTGATAGAAAAGTTGTAGATCTTATGAAACGTGTAATTAAAATTAATTATTGATTTAGATTTAGATTTAGATTTAGATTTTAATCAAATATTTTAACGATACCAAATATGGGCTAATTTACTCTTTAACCGTACGAAAGCAAAATTTTACCTCTTAGTTCAGCAAGTAGATCCTTAGCTAGGACTTCAGAGACTTGTTCATAAGGTCCTCGACTTAGCATTCGAATAAAACTAGAAAAGATGTATTACATGTACACAATAGATTTATATATTGATTTATATACAGATGATCTAGAAATATGATCGAGTTAGAATTTCTTTAAAAAGGAAAAAAAACATTCACAACTCTCTTTTTGACGCATCATCTGAAAGTAAATTATAATGTAATTGTTTATGTGCAAATAGCATTATTCAAAATCGAATTAGAGTTTTTAAAAGGAAAATTATATCATTTACATCAGTTTTCAACACGGAAAAATTTTAAATATTTATTGATTTTGAATTAATTGTCTATTAAAAATTAGAGGAAATTGCAAAAAAATTGTCTACTTTTACATGATCATTTGCAAAATGTCCAAAATTTCTTCAATGTCCATTTTACTATAATATAGACCAAAATATCCTCATTATAAAAAAATTGTCTACTTTTACATGATCATTAGCAAAATGTCCAAAATTTCTTCAATGTCCATATTACTATAATATAGACCAAAATATCCTCATAAACAATTATAAAGTCCACAATGAAGACAAAATTATTTATATACTAAAAAAATTGTATTGACCAATAATAATTTGACAGATAATTTATACTACTTAATTTAAAAAGTATCATATCAATCATGTATTGCTCACTTCTCCCTATAAATGGGTAAATAAAACATTTATGAAATATCGAGAAGTAAACTTAAAATGTTAAAAACATTAAGAAATGTAGATAATTCTTATGTTCAGAACGAAATATCGTTCTAACAAATGAAGTGTCAAGTGTCTACATAAATAGGATCCAAATGTCATAACAACTTTTAAAACGTCGAGAACATCATGAAATATCAAGAATAACAATTATTAAACACAATTTATCAACAAAAACAAGATTTCAAAGAATAATTACATTCTACCGAGAATTGTGGAAAGTCTAATCAACTGCAAATTTGGATGAGATGAAATTTTTCGAAATGAAATTATATGATTTTCTCATGAATTAGAAGCATATAATTATTTTTAGTGTTAATGACTTTTTTACTCCAAAATTCTTGATCATATAAGCTACTTGTTCAATAGATAATAAAAGCAAATGAATATATTAGGTATTAGCTAACATTAATATAACTTATCATATAAGTTACTTGTTCTTCTCGAAATTCATGATAAATTAAAAAAAATATATTTCATTTTCATTGAGAGTATAATAGACAATTTGGTATTAAATTTGGCAATTTTTACAAGATTTATTAAAATTAGACAATTTTCAATTGAGCATTTTTGTAAATTCCCCTAAAAATTATGGCAGACTGGTGTCCAAATTGTTACGTGTCAATTGAACACAATGCCGCAGCTATCATTACAAACAGGTAACATCACTGCTTAACACGTATCACCATGCACATGTGAAGTAATATTAAAAAAAGAGAGAAGTGAAATTCTTGAAAAATGTGCCAGTGTTAAGCATATCAGCATCTTTACCCTGCAATAATTATCCTTTCTCCCTTTTTTCCTCAATCGCTGCTGTGATTGATTGGAAATTTTACTTGAAAGGAATAAGAAAATGGCAGCCATGGAAGAACCAATACTCTCGAGACTAAACCGACTGGATAATATTGTAAGTGAATTTATCCTTTTTTATGTTGGTTCTGATAATTACCAGAGATTCTAACTGTGGTAGAATAATGCTGATTGGTCAGGCTTAGTGCCAGAAAACATTTTGACAGATTTATTTGACATATTTTGAGTGTCAGTTCTTTGTTTTAACTTTTTTTTTTTTTTTAACTGTTAATGTAAATTTGTGGAGTGTATCTGTGTATAAAAATCTTTCCGTTATGTAGTGGTCCTGTAGCAGAACTGTATGTGGTATTGATTGGAGAATAAGTTTTTCTGTGGGTTGGTATCAGATTTTAGCTTCTTGTCTCTTCAATATAATTTAAAGCGAAGGTGTCTTAATCAAAAGGTTAAAATGATGAAATTCAAGTTCAAATTGAAGTAAGAATGGTTGGGATGATATTACCCAGCTTAGAGGAAAGGGGGCAAAATGGCCTCTAGATTTTTATTTTATTTTTTTCATTGAAATCCACCTGTTATAACATGTTTATTAACATAAAAATAAATAAAGTACAACTTAGGAGAGGTCGAGCTTGACCTCATGAACAATATTCTTATAGCAAAAAATTCGATTTACGCTGTAAGAATTTTAGTTAAAAATCCAAAAAACAATAGAGCTTATACGATTCTACCAGAACCAGGTTAAGTTTCCCCATAAATTAGTGAATGGCGAATGGAAAGCAAGGTCAAATTAAAACAAGGATGGTTGGGATCATATTACCCAACTTAAAGGACATGGTGCAAAATGGCCTCTAGATTTCTATTTTACTTTTTTCATTTAAATCCACTCCTACTAGCATGTTTATTAATACAAAAATAAATAAAGTACAACTTAGGAGAGGCCAAGCTTGACCTCAGGAACAATATTCTTGTTAGAGAAACAATTGAAATACCAGAATCGCTCTTACACCAACTTGTTATGAATTCGACCAAATAATTAAAGACAAGAAAATATCGACAACATGAAAATAATGGATCACACAACAACCAAGATTTATGTAGAAGAAGAGGAGAATTTATTATAACAAGAAACTAAAATTGCCTTTACAAGATTTGATTCTCTCAAGTTAAATCTAAACAACAATTCTCTCAAATTTTTAATGTATACACCAATAATTTAATTGTTATCTTGAGTCTCTCTTGAATCACCAAAGAACCTATACCTTATGAAGTATTTATAGAAATCAAATATTGGAGCTATAAATGAAGTAGAACACAAAATCAGGTAAAAAACCAAACATGAGTAAAATTCTCTCCGAACGACGGCGCCACTCGCCCTTCGTTTCTCCATCGCGCTGCCACGCCCCTAGTTATGTCCCAAAACGTTCTAAAACACTTTTTCATCTATCCCAAAGTCTTTATCCCAATCAAACTCTCAATTCATGATAAAATTTGACCACTATCAAATCAGACTTCCCAACCAAAATTATCTAGGCTTCCTCCATGAATCAATCTTTCAAATCACATGGAATTTAAGTCACAAAACATAACAAACTCCACCTTGACACAAATTCTATAACAATGAATTCAATATTTACTCTTCAAGTCATTCTCCAATTCTTCCACCATGCCCCTTCTAGATACCCCATGCCCCTGTCGAGCACACCATGCCTCTGTTGGGCGTACTCAATAACTGTGAACTAAATTCAAGTCATGCTTAACAGCATAACTATTTTACGCATCATCATTGCTTGAATCATCCCGTTCATTATCCGCTCCAGTCGAGTCAATAATCCCGCTCGAATCACAATGAGCAACATCAACTCTCCTTGAGTTGCCAAATCCGCTCGAATCACTACGAGCAATTCCAACTCCACTTCAGTTGCTAAATTTGCTCAAATCACCACGAACAACCAAATCACAACCAACTCTACCCAAGTTATTGCTTATTGAACTATAAGCTGCAGCTGCATCTGCATCCGCAGTTATTACGTCCTGAAAAATTTGATTAGAAAGATGAAGATGTATTGTGATAGGGCTTTTCAATTCTTTCGTTGCTTCCCCTCTGCAATAATTGTTGTGGGCATTCTCTCTATCCCCAACAAAGAAGCATCAAGATCCAATTGAGCAAGAACCGCTCGCATCTTGATTAGCCACAAAGAAAATCCACTGTTGCGATCCAAAAAAAAATCAAAATCTTAAATTTTATAGTTTCCATCCCTAAAACAGTCAACCATGTTCAAACCTCGCTTTAATAACCAATTTGATCATCCCAAGAAATCACCAAAACATTGTCTCTGATGCCACTTGTTAGAGAAACAACAAAACTACCAGAATCGCTCTGATACCAACTTGTTATGAATCCGACCAAATAATTAAAGACGAAAAAATATGGACAATATGAAAATGATGAATCACACAATAACCAAAATTTATGTGGAAGAAGATGAGGATTTATTATATCAAGAAATTAAAATGTCTTTACAAGATTTGATTCTCTCAATATAAATCTAAACAATTCTCTAAATATAGATCTAAATAATTCTCTCAATTTAAATTTAAACAATTCTCTCAAATTTCTAATGTATTCAACAATGATCTAATTGTTATTTTGAATATTTCTTGAGTCACCAAAGAACCTATATCTTGTGGAGTTTTTATAGGAGCCAAATATTGGAATTATAGATGAAGTAGAACACAAAACCACGTAAAAAACCAAATATGAGTAAAATTCTCCCCGAACTGGCGGCACCGGCCATTCTGTTTCTCCTTCGTGCTGCCGCGCCCCGGTTCTATCCCAAAACGTTTCAAAATACATTTTCATCCATCTCAAAGTCCTTATCCCAATCAAACTCTCAATCTGTGATGAAATTCGTTCCCTTATCAAATCAGACTTCTAAACCAAAATTATTTAGGCTTCTTCCATGAATCAATCTTCCTAATTACATGGATTAAAAGATCATAAAATCAATAATGAAAACTAAATTCATGTGCTAGAGTCATGCTTCGTGTCATCAAGCGGCTAGTTGGATTGAATCTTTTCTTTTTCACAATAAAACTCTAATTGAGATTTGTTTGGTTTCTCGTAGCCTGTTCACATTCAGTTTTTCTTTCCTCTATTCTATTTTTAATACCTACGAAACACAAGTGGCTCGTACGTCATCTCTATGTTTTCAATATTATGGTAATTTCTGGTCTCTTGGGTAAATTTTTTAAATTCATTTGATACTTGAGTTGCAAATTTATTTTGAATTTTAATCATGGGGGAGATTAGTTGAAACAATTGGAAGACATCAAGAGCCTTGACCATTCTCCCAAAAGCTCGTGTGCATCCACTTTCTCAAGTGGAACCCTCACAAGTGACGGCCAAGCATCGTCAGTTGATTACTCGCCAAAAAGCTTGGAGAAGCATTGCCTGCCCATTAATGAAGTGATATTGGAAGTCAAGCGCAAGGGAACACTCATCGAAAGACTAGTCCATGTGGAGGACCGCGTCTTCAAGGTAACACGACGAAACAAAACTACTCATTCTTTAATCACTTAAAATTGAGTAAAAGTAACATATGAAAATTATTTTTGTCCGACCAGATTTGTATGCAATTTGAAGAAGAGCTGGAGGCGGAAAAGCACAGAGACGAGACGCCATCGGCAGAGAAGAATTCACCTAAGAAGGTCTTGAAGAAGATGCTGAAAACTTGTGTAGGAGGAGGACATGGGAAGCATAAGATCAAAGATTGATATATAAACAGTTGCCTGTATGTGTCATTTATAAGTTCTTTTACATTATTGTCTAGGAAAGGAATGTTTAGGCATATGATGCAAATGTGGTAAAGACATGAAGTTTTTGTGCATATTGTGTGTTTTTTCTTACGATACTTTAAAGACCATGCTGGTTTACTTGCAATCGATAATAGTTCTTTTTAGTTTTTAGTCAAAAAGGAAGAATCTTTTCATCGCGAGACTTGATTATATGATTTATGCTCAATTTGTGAGTCACAATACTTATTTATGTCACTCCACCAACAATATCCACTACCGTCGACGCCCCCGCCCCAAAACCGCCTCACCGGGACAAAACCGCCACCATTTCATAGCAACCAGTACCAACACCACCGTTGCAACAACCAATACCCCACACAAAACACCACTACCACCACACAAAAACACTACCATTACCACCACCGTCGGATTGGTCGACCGCCACAAGTACCACCACTATTCATATTAACAAAATCACCGCCAACAACTGCCACCACCATTGCCAACAACCGCCACCACAGAACTCACCTCTACCGCCAGATACACCATCGCCAACAACCACCACCACAAAACTCACATCTACCGCAAGATGCCACACAAAACACAGCACCATCACCGCACACAAACTGGTCAACGCACACAACCACTGGTCAACAGCGGCGCCCTCACACACGCCCAATCGCAAACGCCACAGCACCCACCNTGGTCAACAGCACGACACCCAACCACCCATCGCACACCACCGCACCAACAAAAACCCCCCAACCGCTCGCACACCACCGCACCAACGAGAACCCCCAACTGCAAAATCATCCACAAGAAATAGACCCAAACTCCGGTAACCCAAACACCGATGCTGCTGCAGTTCGCTGCTGCGAGATCTGCGAACGGTGCGACGCGAACAGCAGCGACAGCAACAGATCTGGAAATGAAAAAAAGGGAGGCGACGCTGCTGGAAAAAAAAAAGATCTGGATCTGTGGGGTGAAAAATAACAGATCTGGAGTGTCATTTCGTCGGAGTGGAGAGGGAGAAGAAGTTAGAGAAAGAGAGAGATACCTAGAGAAAATGTCGGATCCCTTATTTCGCCGGCGGTTGGGCGGGTGTTTCTAACACAGAGATGGGGAGGAGAGAACGGCGGTTGGGCGGCGGTTTCTAACACGGCCGGGGAGGAATACGTAGAACACAGAGAGTGAGAGGAAGAAGACCGCAGGTTGAGTGAAATGAATTAGGTTTTCATTGGAATTAAATTAATTTGGATGAAAATTTATAATTAATATTTAATAAATTATGAAAAACCTGATTTTTGAAAAGTTAAATTTGTAATCTGATTTATGAAAATGGTTTTTTAAAAGCAGGGGTAGGTGTAATTTCCTCAACTACTAATGTATTCGTGACAATGTTTTAAGTAACAAAATTAACCCAAACAAGAAATTGATTTTAACTACAGATAATCATTAATATCACAATTATTTTAATTGACCATCTTATATTTTGTTCATTGAATATAAACTATCAATTTTATGAACCCAAACAAGAAATTGATTTTAACTACAGATAATCATTAATATCACAATTATTTTAATTGACCATCTTAGATTTTGTGCATTGAATATAAACTATCAATTTGAAGATACAATCAAGAATTCTTATTTGTTCTTATTTGTTAATTGTTAACTGCACCGGATCTTAATTAGAATGAAGGTCCTCATTTTCTACTTATTTTTGTACTTATATCTTCAGCTCTTTTTGTTATTATTGTTATCTTTAATCTTCAATTAATTCATACATTTTCTCTTTGGGGATTTTTTTTGTCCAAATATTCTATTAGCATGAGAAATTTTTTCTTAAACTTTTATATTTGTTGTATATCTTGCTTATCTAAAAATATAAGGGGCAAGAAAGTCTTTTTACTTCCTCCTAATTGATTTTTTGGTTTATGACACAAATGTACTAATTATTAGAAAGTTGACTATAAAAAAAAATGATGAGAAGTGTTGAGGATACAATTGCAAAAATGAGCAAACATCAAGGACCTTCACAGCAAATAAATTGATTTATTGTTAATAAAAAAATGTGATTTAAATGTAATTATTCTTTTTGTAAACATTGTGCAAAATTTAGTATATAAAATGTAAATTTATCAAATAATGGTTATATCAACATCGTAGTGTTTTACAACTACAACAATTTTTAATTGGATTAAAAATTCCTAGCCTTTACTTATTGGTATATTTTTGTCCCAGGATTTTTTTTCATCACATTCTTCCCCTCCACCTCCCAGTAATTAGTCTCTCATGACGGTTTTCATTTAAATATTTAAGTTAATAGTGTGTAAAAAGACTCATTTGTTCACTGTATTATTAATTAAGAAAACAAATAACAAGTAAAAAATGCGACGAAATATTTGTCCCATTTTAAAGTGTGCTGACATGATTTTCGTATGAAAACAGTCATCAAGAATAATGTGTGCAGTGTGCTTATTAATATAAGGTTGATGATAAGAAAACAATAAAAAGTTGGGAATATAAGTGTGATAATAAATAAAGATTAGAGATATTCAATGCAATTAGAACGTGTTGCATTTATGAAAAATTGTGATGGGAATATAATTACTGTTATGCCTAGTCACCGAGGCTACAGTCAAAATGCCACGTCGCAATCCACATGGAAAGGATAGTCAACAGAAACTCAATTGGTCAAAAACAAAGGCCGAAACTTCTATATCGAAACACTGCCTAAATGGCAGAAGCTCCTAAGCCGAAGCATTGTGTACGAAATCAAAGAAGAACCGAACATCTTCACATAGAAGACCACCAATACAAAGCTTTCTCCTTCCGAAGCCCTCAGTTCATACAAACTGAAGTTGTCTCTTACAAAAATTTGTAAACAATCTTTAGGAATGATTGATGTAACATTTGTAATAAAAAAGTTAGGTGTGTCAGCTTAATGTATAGGGTGGTTGACCCATTATCAATGTATTTATTGTATGATGAACTTAGTGATTTGAGGCTTCAGTCAATGAGATGAGACCACATGGTTCTAATCCAACGGACACCACATTGGTCAGAACACTATAAATAAGTGGTCTTTGTAAAATGGAGGGGGCTTTTTGTATGGTCTTTTGGAACATTAATTCTAATATACAAAAAAAAACTCAAGACAAATACTCTGAAGAAACATTCTTGTTTGCTCTATATTTGTTAGTTCGAACACTTTTGTCTCGCACCGTAAAGTGTCTCCCGCATTCCAAGCACTCCCCTTCGCCGCCCGATTCTCTGATCAAAACGCGTCGAAACTTGTTTGAGTTGACGTGAGTGGACCCAACATCTGTTGTCCATTTTGGCGTCACGTTTTTCGGAATCAACAATTACCTTTCATAAAAAAATATGCAGTGTAATTGATATCCTATATACTCTGTGTATTTTGTAAATTTCTCAAAAAGATACACTGCCATGCATGAGGAACAAACAACCTAGGTATGGAAAACAAAATTTTGCACATTCTGGGTTATAGGTTTGAACCTAGATACCTAGAGCTTGAGCATTTGATCCTTGACATTCTGGTACGCGTGGATTGAACCATAGGCCCTGATTCATTGAAATTGTTAAAAAATGATTATATAGATCATGTTTTAACGCATTATTGATACTTGATCATAAATATGATATGTTGACCTCAGTTTCTGTGCAGACATGTAGTCAATAGAATCTCGATCATCTCTCCTTCACATAGATATCAATCGTGCACTTGAACACCTGTTAGGAGCACAGGTCACCGATTGAGAAAAAGATCTGACGATCGTTTGCAATGTGACAGACAAGTTAACTGTCGACGAGAAATAAAGTGAGTGCAAGAGAGGGTAAAGGGGGTTCGACTATGGTTAGGATATCATTCCTTTTGTGTAATATGAACTAAATCAACCTGAAATCAAATAGAATAACTCCACAACACATACAAAATAATTCGGGGTCCATTTGACCCTTCGAATAATGACAATAAAGAAAAATAATGATCGATTGAATTTCTCCAAAATATAATATGCAGAAAGTCTATCGTGCATCATAGTAGGTAATATGCTTGAACAGCCTAGATTAACATTATTGATAGTGTGAAGTGACATGCTGATGGTGTAGATAACGTGACATGCATATTGATAATAATGAAAATAATGACATAAAACGTGACAATAATGTGATGGTGTAGACTTGTGGCCTATAGAATTTCGGTCACCTTTCCTCCACTTAGGCATCACCAACACACATGAACATTCCATTAGGATGCAATGGTTATCGGTCGAGAAAAAGCCGATGGGCAACGACCATTTGCACGTCAAATCAATAGCCAAACGAGAGATAAAGTGCGCACAAGAGAGTGAGAAGGAGGTTTGGCTAGATTTAGAATATAATGCCTTTTGTGAAATGTACTTACATATATATAAAGAGATGGAAATAGGTCACTGGGTTAATGGACTGAGACCTGGACCGAGACCGAGCCCGAGCCCAAGACGAATTTTTTTGATTTAATAGGTCAAATCCAATTGAATAATCGATACTCAGTTGGTCATGTGGGACCCTCTCCGCTATATGCATGCCATGTAACTTATAAGTTGATATATAAAACGATTTTGAGCTATATTAAACTATTTTCAAACCAATTATAGTGTTATTGAGGAACAAAATTTGAACCTACAACCTTAGTATGAACCTTAGCCTTCACAATCGTGGATTTGTCCAAAATTAAGTTGTATTGATAATTTTATAGAAGAATAAAATTAATAATTAGAAATTATTTTAACATGTTTATTGTACTCTCATTTATACAAAGTATATAATGGTGTTTCAACTACTTCACGATGCAAGTTAATTTATAAAATAATGCATATTGGGCAAATGATATTGGTATTGAGAGAGTTGAAGACACTTTGGGTGAAGATCAACATGAAATGAATACTTTATAGTCGGGTATTGATCGGCCTTTG